AGAGGAGAGGAAAGAAGAGGAGAGGAAAGGAAAGAAGAGGAGAGGAGAAGAAAGGAGAGGAAAGGACAGAAGAGGAGGGGTGAGGAAAGGAAAGGAGAGGAAAGGAAGGGAGAGGAGAGGAAAGAAGAGGAGAGGAAAAGAAAGGAGAGGAGAGGAAAGGAAAGAAGAGGCGAGGAAAGAAGAGAGATTTTTTGTTATTAGCCATCAGTTGGACGGCTAGTCAACGTTTTGAAGAAGTCTTTATTCTGTACAGAAGCAGGTTTAAATTCACACGCAGCAACTTTTTTTTTTTTTACACCACAAACCAAGCACACAAACGCACCACAAGACAAAACAGCCTGTTCCCCTATGAGGAAACGAGGCCTTCAGGGGAGCTTGTAAACCAGTGTGGACCGAGTCAACAGATCAGCCGGACTCCTTAAACCACACATCTGCTGCTGAATGCAGTAAAATATCCTGAAATAATCCTATTAAAAAAAAAAAAAAAAAAAAAAAAATGTCATTTTTGAAAACACAAACTGCCTATTGTTCTTTGGAGAAATACCCTCGTGTGAGCTGCTGCGTTGACCTTTGGCCCTGACCTTTGGCCCTTTTTTTATTTTCTTCTCCTTTGTCTCTGCAGTAAAGTGAAGAACAGGAACTTGTACCTGGCGACCTTTGCATCGGTTCTGGGTCCCATGAGCTTCGGCTTCGTGCTGGGCTTCAGCTCCCCGACCCTCCCTGAGCTCACCCACAGCCCTGACCCGCGGCTGCAGCTGGACGACATCCAGGCCTCCTGGTTTGGGGTATGATGATTCAATTTCACGTGCCATCGCCGCTATGTGTTCTCTCCAGAGCCGTGCTGACTCCAGTCAAGCCTAAAAAAGGGAAACGTGGAACTTAATTTAAACAAAATAAAAAATTTGTACGAGAGAATTGTCAAAAATTTGAACCAAAATCAGATTTTTTTTTAAATTGATGCCATAGAAAAAATTCTGCTCCTAATTCAAAAAGAATGCTACACTATAAGAAATAAAAACTAGTTTAGATAATGTTATTATAAATATTATAAAACATGAGAAACATGCAGAAAACTTAAAATTTTGAAACCTTTTTTTTTTTCAAAAAAATCTCTCCTTAAAAAATCTTCAAAAAAAATTTTTCCTTAAAAATTCTTCAAAAAATGTTCTTCCGCAAAACTTAAAAAAAATGTCTTCCTTAAAAATTCTTCAAAAAACGTTTTCCTTAAAAATTTTCCTCCTTAAAACTTTGTCAAAAAACATTTCTTCCTTAAAAATCTTTCAAAAGATCTTCCCCAAACTTTCAAAAAAAGATTTCCTCAAAAAATTTTCAAAACAAAATTCTCAAAGTGCAGGGTGCGCCCCCTAGGGGTCACTTTGTCATTGCAGGCAGGGGTGTGTATGGAATAAACAAATTAAATTTAATGTTGTAAAAGAGGTCGTTATTTTTAATTCTCGCTCCCGATTTAGCTGTTGTCCAAGTCTGAAAACAAAATATTCCTTTTTTTTTTTTTTTTTTGGGAACAGTGGTCTAAAGTAAAAAGAAAATTGCACTTCTATTGTGTTGTTGGCTGTTAGCAAGCAAGCCAAAAAAAATTGCGATGTCTAATAATGTTTTACATTTTATTTTTCTAAACCTTTGCGCTATCTACTGGTGCCCGTTTGACCCATCAGGTATGATGTTGCAGGAGTAAAAAGTTAAATCAGGAACCAGAGGTTGAAGACCATTGGTTTATCCATGGCTATAAAAATCCAGT